ATCTGAACACAAAAATGGAACCTACGCAGACGCAACCCCCACCTCACTTATTAATTACGGGTGTAGCATTCCCGAAGCGATCTCTTCAATATTTTGCGCCAATCCATGAACTACCAATATTTGGTGGTTTCGTTCATTAATCAATTGGGGCAAGGGCAGATTCATTAATATATTCGGCTAAATTTCAAAGCTTTGCGCCGCTAAGTGGATGTGCCCCAGCCAATCTATGAACTACCAATATTTAGCGGTTCCATTCATTAATCAACTGGAATAAGTGCAGATTCATTCAGCGGTTCTGTTCATTAATCAATTGGGGCAAGGGCATATTCATTAATCTATTCGGCTAAATTTCAAAGTTTTTTGGCTCTAAGTGGATGTGCCCCAGCCAATCCATGAACTACCGATATTTGGCGATTCCGTTCATTAATCAACTGGGGGAAGGGCAGATTCATTAATATATTCGGCTCAGCCTCATCATTTTCCGCCCATAAGTTAGTGTGCCCCAACCAATCCATAAACTACCGATATTCGGCGGTTCTATTCATTCATCAGCTGAGGCAAGGGCAAATTCATTAATCTATTCGGCTAAATTGCAAAGCTACGCACAGTTATTTTATCGCCGAATTAATTTACTCATTTCATGATTTTACATCATCCTACTTAGCCGTTAATTAGCACATGCAGCAGCAGACAGACAGAAAGACAAAGGCAATTTTCATTAATAAATTGAGTACAAACAGTAGTCATTTTACACATGAAAATTATCCTACATTTAACTTCTAACCAAAATAACTAAACAAAAATCTGTAAAAACTACGCACACAAGATACCAAACAAAAACAAAATTACTTTGATCCTAGTCAATCTTCAGGGTCAAACTCTAGCGACTCAACGTCCACCTGCTTGTATGGAATTCCAATGTCACATTAGCGGCAGCGAGGGCTTTGAGCCAGACGTGTTTGAAGCCCCAATTCTCGAACTTAGGTACTTCCTCCATGTAATTTTCTAAGGCGGCGTCCTTTCCGGCTCGGAATGTCTTGGAAATCTCGGAGTCGGCGATTTCCTTTGCCTTCTTTGATGCTTCCAAATCGGCCTCCAATTTGGCAATCACCTCCTTGGCTAACTTAAGCGCATCATCGCTCGCGTTCGCCCTTTCTTCGGCGGCCAACCTAAGTTGGTCAGAACTCTTGGCCTTTTCTGCCTCAGCATCAACCCTTGCTCGTTCTTTCGCCGCTTTCATTGCCTCAGACTCGGCTCTGAGAGAGGCCTCTGTAGCCTTGCTCTTTTCATTTTCAACTTTGGTTGTGAGAAAGCCGATTTGTTCGATAGCGTCATGTTGACGGCGACCAATCACAGCTATCCTGACCATTGCCTGCAAAACAAGGAATTAGTAAGATAGCTGGCAAAAATATATATATATATATATATAGATGCAAGACCACAAACAAGGCTCAAGTCATGTACCAATATCGCCGATTGAGCGGCTAATGCTATGGATAGCAAATCCAGTTCTACACGAAAGGTTGCTCTGTCAACCGGCAGAGAAATTGAAGAGGCCACGCTTAAGGCCACAGCAGCGTCTTTCACAGCTGATGCATCAGAAGCAACCAGCACGTTCTTTATCCTTGGTTGTATGATAAACAGCACAACCAGGTCTGACTCCTCTATGCGCGGCCGTTTATCAATTAGGTTTTCTAAAGAGTCGGCTTCGTGCTCGGCAGAACATTTTTCTCCCTTGTGCTCGGCCTCCTGATTGTCCTGTTGATCAACGACAATGTGCTTTGTTTCGGCTGTATCAATCTGCACTGTTTCTTCAACAAGAGCAGGCAGAGAAGACTCAGCCCTAGCAACGGATGGAGGTTCAGATCGGTCGACTTCGGCCTTCCTCCGGGCAGCCATCCTCTCGGCGTTTTTTCTCCTGGCCATCTGCGTGAGCGACTTCCCAACCGTGTTCTCAGGATATGCGCCGGGAAGGTCCCCTAAGTCGGTGAAAATATCTTCAAACGAGACGTCTACTCGGCTTGAAGTGGATGGACGGTTCAAGCCGGCTTCCTCAAAAGCCAAATTTAGAGCCGCGTCAACCTCCTCCCTGAGACCATCGGATCTGTCCAAGGTGGACTGATTCGGCTGCTCAACGACTTCTTCGGCTATTTGTTCCTCTGTCGGCTCTGAATTTGAAGCTTCAAGACCAATCTCCCTAAGATTTTTGAAGTTCGGGAAAATAAGCGCCGTAAGCTGCTGTTCGCCATTTGGAATCAGAATGTGATCTGCGGCCGAAAATGTAGCGCAAGTTGGCTCGTATCTCAGAAGTACGTGGGCCGCCCTCCCTTGCTTTTGGAGGTTTGGACGATCGAAGAACTGGAGCGCGGTTTTGATTTGCGCAAGTACAACGTCGTCGGCCGAGACGAGAATTTTTTTCAAATCGTTACCTGCGTAAATGAAACGGTAAGTGGATAGAATCTAAGCCGGGTAAATATATAACAAATACAAATGGAGGACTATACGGCCACCTGGTTCGCCTTTTCGTCTAGGCACAGGATCTAGGCGATCTTCACCCTTGCCGAATTCCCAGTTGCCTCGGACAACGACCATGACATTGTCAACATGCTTGCCAGAGCTGGCAAGCATAGTCACCAAATGATGGTCGGTGTCCTCAGCCCTGAGAAAGTAGCGCCCCTGCCGGTCAGAGGATTTGGCCAAGGCATAACAATGCTGAATAGTAGGGATTCCAAGATGGAGCCTAAGGCATCGGTTTAATTCTACAATTCCCATTATGATTCGGTAAAAGTTTACGTTAGGCTGAGAAGAGATTAGACCCCAGTGGCAAAGGATAGCCCTCAAAAACGGGTGAAGGGAGAAATAGACTCCGCCCTCAGCGATTGATAGGAAAGGAAAGGAAAGATGATTGTACTCTCATCGGTCCTCTCCATGTCAACTACGCTCTCTGCCACGAGTGACAGATGGACGTCGTCAGGAATGAAAAAATGGCGTCGAAAACCAGAAACTCGATCTACAGAAAGAAGGGCTTTCAAATGTTTCGCCATCCTGGCCAGTATAGGAAGTACGCTAAACTAAAAACAAACTAGGAAATGAGAGTCGAAATGGAGAAAATGAGAACTTACAAGGAGTAGAGAGGACAATGAGGAACGGGAAGAAGTTGCAGAAGTCGTAAAATGAGGGAGATATACTGACAAGCAACCAAGAAGTTTCACGTATTCAAAAAACATGCATTCGAAGGGACAACACGGTTTCAAATCGCATTAAATGAATGAAGCGTACGAAGGGGCGGGAAATTATAATGATTCCTAAAAAGCGTAGGCGTTCTGACATTTGTGTTGGAATAAGGGTAACCGTCGTATTTTTGACTCTCCAAGTTCAAGACCAAACATGCCGACTAACTGGTATTGGTAGGATGTTTGGGGAGCAATTGTGGGAGCCGAATAATCTTATATGTAGGAAAGCCAAATGAATTTGAAGACAATCAGGATATAAACTATTCGGCTCCGTCCTGGGGGATCCTGAAGCCGAATAACTAAATCGGCCATAGAATTAGCCGTACAAGAAGCTGAGTGCGAATAGGCACACGACAAAATGACCGAGTGAGCAGTTATGCGCCGGATTAAAAGTGGGCCCGACTCCTGAGATCAGGGATGAGTATAAATGAGAGGAGTATCAACCAAAGAGAGGTATGTGAGAATAGATTAAAGAAACTTAAGACACAAGCAAACGAGAGAATATATACTAACTTATTCGTCAGAGTGCTAATTTCGGTACCCCCGACCGGAGTGTTAATCCCTTTTTCAGGTGGCTATCTGAGGATCAGAAACGTCCTTCAGGATCCAAGAGTATTTCCAAACCACTTCTCCACAATCATCACATGACATTTTTCCATTCCCTTCTCCAACATCCATGCAAGTGTAATTGAAGTTGAGAAAACACTCAGATGGATAGCTCATTGATTAGATTACCATAAAAACCAATTTCCTTTCTCGCAGTAGAGATCCAACAACTCTCAACTATGCAATTGTCAAATACATAGGCTGTTCTCAGATTTGGGCTGTGGGAAATCACACAAGTATAGTCCTCTGAAAGCACCATTTCACTAGAAGAGAGACACCTAGTGAGAAGCCCGGTGAATTCGGGTTTTGTCTGCCATAATTTGCAAACCCATATAGAGGTAATGGGCTGCAGCTAGCTGGGTTAGGGATCGGCAGGGAAGTAATGGTGGCAGGGAAGGGTATGATGGTGATTGTTAGTTGATTTGTATAGACATACATATATATATATATATATATTAGGGTTTAGTTTAGAGGAAGAAGATGAAGGTATTTAGGTGATTTATAAGGGATGTCAACAGAAGTTAATGATGCACTTAGGATTCACAAACCACAGGGGTAAAGTGCTTATTTTTAATTGACAAAGGAGTCATCTACACCCGAGCTAAACCACAAGGGGGTAAAGTAAAATTTGCCCAAAGAAAAAAAAAATCAAGGGTGTTCAAATGAACACCATCAAATAAATGGGGTACTGCCCCAGATGACAATCCAAGCAACTAAAGGTGTTCAATTTTTCTTTTTACCTTCAGGGGTAACAAATGACAAAACAAAATGTACATACATTACATGGAAAAGTAAAAAGAAAAAAGAAAAGGCCTCAAATACATGTGGCAAAAAAGGGACTTTGTTATATAGGGTTTGAAGCATGGACATAATAATCATCTTGACATGCATAGTTCAAGCAATTTCGTAATAAAGATCATTTCTTTAATTTTGATTTCAATTGTTTACAATAAGCACTTGTGATCAGTTCTTTAGTTCTTATTTCAATTGTTTCCAATTAGCACTTAGAATTATCAGCAACAATTGAAATAACTGTTCAAATGTTATTTTGGCATTATCTAAACTTTCACAAAGAAAAAAACACCCATTGGTCATCATCAACGAGGCAATCATATCACATAATTAGTGAAAGAAATGCAATTTATTAATTTAAAAACTAACCTGGAGGAAGGGATTGCTTCAACTTGTCAGCCTTCTCAGAATCAAACACACAAAGTGTGTAGAGGTACCTGGCACAACGAACCTTGAACTTGACAACATCTTTGCTCCTCTTGATTTTCACAGAACGTGCATCCTTCCTTCTGGCAGTTAGAAGGAAGTCCTTGATCTCATGGATTTGCTTAGGCTGTCATATATAAAGATTCAAATAAATAAAAGAATAATCAGCAAATAAATGTAAAATCTAAGTCCCCCAAATATTCATTAAAATCAGGATATATATAATAATGATGAACAAACCACATTCCCCAAAAGCAGCAAAGATTTTATTTTTATGTTTCAATTACAATTCAAAGAAAAAAAACAGCAATAGTAATCTTAGCTTGACTACAAAACGAACCAATTAACGAAAGAATGCATGAACCAACTTGATTGGGTTATAGCTACACAAGAGTAGAGAGAGAGAGAGACAGAGAGTACCATTTTGGTTTTTTAGGGTTTGAGGTCTCTCGCTGGTGAAGTTGGGATGATCCAAACCCCGTCTGTAACCTCGGAAGAGAATCAGGACTGTATGTATGTATATAGCATGAGCTCAATCTGATTCAATTCAACCCTAAAATTTCATATATTTTATTTGCCTATTTTACCCCTGTAAAAATTTTATGTACCAAGGAGGTCATCATCATCACCTGTGAGATGGATGGGCTAAACCCATGGGCTGACTTAGGAAACTGCTGGTTGGCTCCTGAGAAGCAGGCCTGCACAGGCCCATTACAAAAAGCTTGTTGGGCTCTATTTTCGTGGGCTCCAGTCCAGACATATGTTATCAGACAACTTTTTGAATGGAAGATCTTAATGTATTTTTGTTTTTGTTTTGTTTTTTTTTTTTTTTTTTTTTTTTTTTGTTGCTGCCGCTGCTGCTTGGGACATGCAATGGTGTTTGGTTTGATTATATGAACATTTTTTACAAACAAAAAATGATGCTTTTTACTTAATTTTTCAAAGAAAAAATATAGTAATATAATATTACGTGCACCAATTACTATACCAATTAGTGTATCAACATATGTTATGACATTATTATTGACCTTACCTATTATACAAATTACAAATACCTAAAACCTCTAAAATTATGTTATACCATCTGTTAATATACTAATTGATATATCAATTGATACATATAGTATTACTCGGAAAAATAATGAAGTTTTGCTACTTAGAACTTGTATTAATTGCTCGGATTTGATTAGACATCCATTGATTAAACAAATTGGGTTGGTCTTTTAGTATCACAGTTTTAGATCATTAGACACCTGATGCCCATCTCCCCCCACTACTAAATGATGTTTGTTTACAAAAGTCCCTAAAAAATAAAAAATAAAAACAAATTAGATCTAGATTGACCATGTTTCCCTTCTAGGGGCTCAAGCCATCAATGAGATATCACTCTGGATGTTCTAACCTTGCTTCGGAACCTACAGGCTAAGGTACAATCATTCAACTTGACCTGACTTGATCAATTGCAATTTTTTTAAACTGTAATTGAATTTAAAATTTCTAAAAGAAAATTTATATACATACTGCATTTTCTTTTTCCTCCAAACACCAGATTCGTAAAGCAGCTACCTGGATTTAAAGGTGAGTTTGCTTTGTCAATATGTGCTGTAGGTTGTGGAGCAACTTGTGTTGGCTCCTAGGGCATCCATGAAAGAAAAACAAGGAGACAGAGAAAAGGGTGCCGGATGTGCCTCTGGAGTGAAGTGTAACAAGAGAGAGTGTGAAGAGATGTGAGCAAGGGGAGGACACCATGGTGGAGGAATAAGTTTCATATGCTAAATTCATAAAACATAAATAGATTCCATTAATTTTGTATTTTACTCTGAACCACAAAGAGGTTATGCATTTTAAAGCCAAACCACACGGGGTAAATTGTAATTAACCCTTTATTTTAGTATTAGACTTTGGAATTTTTCCTCATTTCGAAAAAACAAACATAAAATAAGACATCAAACCCTAAGCAATAAAAAAAAAAATTTTTTTGCAGCAACATGGAAGAACCAGGTCAACATATCCAGAGCTGGTAAAATAAAACACAGCTTAACAGTAGTTTGAATGAAGAAAATACAAAACCATCACAAACAATTTTTTTTACCAATATTGCAAGCAACACTAAAAAAAAAGGTCCTCAAATTGGTACTCTCTGAACTCAGTCTCAGCTTGCTTCACAGGTCTTGCACACTCAAACCTGCAAAATAATGACCAAATAAATAAGGAGACTAAATTAATTGAACTGCAGTCCATAGACAAAAAATAGATAATATATGATAGGCACAAAGATAGCTTGCAGTTACAAGAAAACATATGAGATAATTAGAGAAACATGGGGAATCCAAAAAACCTCTTTGTTACTTTGGGTTTGAAGCATGTACAATCTTTTTTGTATGCGTCGTCGTTCAAGCAATTTCATAGTTGTGATCAACTCTTTAGTTTTTATTTCAATTGTTTATGATAGATAAGCACTTGTGGTTATGGGCAGCAATTTAGATGAGTTTCACACTGTTCAAATAATAGTTTTAACATTATCTGAAACATCAATCCAGTCCTAGCCTATGTTACATGGACTCGTCACTTTGGGGCGAAATACCCGTGTCGACACGACACGACACGGGTGCGAGATCTGTGTCGGATTCGCCTCGTCTCTCTCGGACACGGCACTTTACAGACAGCAAAGAAATGGAAGAGGAGAAAGGAAGAGAACCTGGTCACTGTTGCTTCGATCATCGATCACGATTAGGGCTCTCACTGTTGATCACGATCGTCTTCGTCTAGGGCTTCGATCACTGTCGATCTCGACCTCGAGCTCGATCGCCTTCGTCTCTCCCTTCGTTTCTGCTTCTCTCTCTCTCTCTTCGTCTCGTCTCTGCTTCTCTCTCTCTCTCGTCTCTCGTCTCTCAATCTGTTCTCTCTCTTCGCCTCTGTTTTATAGAATAGATATATACCGATCATATATAATATATATAATATAATTTATCATATATAATAATAATTTAAATTATTATTCATATTACATTTACATTAATATATAATATATAGTATAAATTACATTAATATAATAATATGTAATATTATTCATCTAAAAAAAATTATATAATACAATAGATATTATATAAATTATATAGATATTATATAATAATTATTGTATAACATATAAGATATTTATAAGATAATATATACTTATATATATTAATAAAAATAAATAAACACATATATGTAAAATAATTATTTGTTATTTATATAATATAACTCATCTTAATAACTATATTTAAAATATATATATATATATATATATTTAACGTATCCCCGTACCCGTATCCAAATTTGGATTTTGGATACATATCCACGTATCCTTAATTTTTAATTTTGAAGTGTCTGACCCCTAGATACGCACCCACACCCGATCCTCGTACCCGCATCCATGTAACTTAGGTCCTAGCTAGGGCCACTTTCCCTGAACGTTTTTACTTCAGTTGAGAAGCAAAAAACATAAATGTATCTCAATGAATGTGCAACATGCCATGAACAAACAATATGGACATCAATAAGACAGTATATCATATCACATAATTACAGAGAGAAATACAATTAATTTAAATGTAATTAAAAACTAACCTGGAGGAAGGGATTGTTTCAACTTGTCAGCCTTCTCTGAGTCAAACACACACAGTGTGTAAAGGTACCTGGAACAACGAACCTTGAACTTGACAACATCTTTGCTCCTCTTGATTTTCACAGAACGTGCATCCTTCCTTCTGGCAGTTAGAAGGAAGTCCTTGATCTCATGGATTTGCTTCGGCTGTGTATTGAAAAGACAGATGGAGAGAGAGAGAGAGAGTTAGCAAGAAAAAGACATCCAAAATAAAGCAAAATCAGTAAACAAATGTAATATCTGAGCTTCCAAATATTGATTAAAATTGGGATATACAATGATAAACAAACTACAAACCAGCTGCTCCTAAAAGCAGCAAGGATTTGATTTGATGTAAAAGCTATTTTAAGATCGAATATAATCTCTTCCAGTCAAAACACACAAGAACTTCTTTAAAATTTAAAAACTTAGTAATGTTAGCCTTACTACAAAACTCTTCACATTGATAGTGAATATATATATATATATATATGAACTACCAGCCATGAGCAAGTTATGACTTGTTGGAAAAATTCAAGAACTTTATGCAAAGAAGAAGGGGTCAAGATTTAATTCATGAACAACGATAGTCATCAGGAAACTTCAAAATGGGCAATACAGAATGTGGCTGTTGCATAATAATGACCCTAGCAAATCCTCCTTTCTTTCATAATCTCATTTAACTTGCATGATAAAGAAAACTTCTTATCCTACTAAACTGGAATGATTCTAAAATAGTGGAATCCAAATTATTTACTACTTAGTAACAGTGCAACAACTTATTTTTTTTATAAGTAACATTAATAGAGAAAACAACCTAAATTTTTTCCCTATGTACAATGGAAACCAAAACAGCTCAGTCTACATGGATATAGTACTGAAAACTGTACAACACAATTTGAAGAAAAATAAAAGAACCTAAGAGCCAATCATTTGGAACTTGATCTAACACTACTTCAAGCTCTATGCAGATACCTCACAGAACAAATCAATCATAATTGTCTAGCTCATATTTTGGTGACACTTTGCAAAAGCATCAGCTACAAATCTGGGCTAACCAAATCACAGAATAATTTTCTAGTCAAAGGCTGGACCCGACTATCACAGAAAATGTGAAACTTCAATTGCATCAAAAACTAGTTTTAAGGGTGCAAATAAATAACTGGTTTGAGCACAAAGAGAACCATCATACAAAACTGCAATATGAATCCTGCAGAGACTGTTCATTAGTAACAGATTAATTTTCTAGACAAAGACACACCATAACAAAAAGTAGAAAATTTTCTAGAAATAAAAACTGTTTTGAGCATCCAAACAGTTGGAAGACACTAACTGTAAACACAATAATGATAGAAGGTCTAAAAGGAATTGTTCTGAACTTGGTTAATCCCTTAAGCAACTTAGCAACTCAATATTGAACAAATCTAGAGTAAAAGTTAAAAATTCAGTTACGGTGAATTGCATTTCTATCGAGGTAGGCTAATCCAGAGTAAATATCACTGAAAATACTTTTTCTCAAGAAAATTAAAACAGGTTCTAAAAGTAAAGGGACGAAAAATGGCACATGACATATGATACAAATTCCATTAATGTGGAAGACAAATTGCAAAAATGTCTGCTTGTTTGTACGAAAGAAGTCCTAAGAATTTGTACTTCCCGGATCAACAAGAAAAAGAAGAAACGAATCCGAAAATTTTCTCTTCAAAAAATATTTTCCGCCCAAACCAACACAAACACAAGCACATAGCTTCACTAACACATACAGATATACAGGTGTAAAAACACACACAAATAGACAAGCATAAAAAATGCTCCAAAATCAGCAACCAAACTTCAAATGAAAGAATTCTAACACTAACTTAACATTGAATCAACTTATATATAAACAAAAACAGTACTTGCGAATCATCCTTACATTGATCGAGAAGAAAAATTAAAATTTGAAATGAAGCACACAAATTAGCTTAAAATTGATGAATTCAATCGAAAATAAGATATGAAGTTATTGAACATTAGATCGAGAAATAGAGATCTCAAATATATACATATATACAGAGAGAGAGAGAGAGAGAGAGAGAGAGACGGGGCTGGAAAGAGAAAGTACCATTTTTGTTTTTCAGGTTTTGAGAGCTTCTCTGCTGAAGATGAAGTTGGCACAAACCAAACCCTAGTTCCTTGGAGCTCAGAACAAGGTGAAGGTCGTAATAACCCTAGAATTTTATTTTGTTTGATTTACCTGTTTTACCCATGTTAACACTATTTTTATAATCGATAATAATAATGAACAAGGACAGTATCCAATCATTTATTATTTGTGGTTGATTCTTAAATGTAACATGAGACAAGTCTAAATAAGTATCATTTTGAGCTATTGGATACTTATAATTATTATCTTTTCTAGATATTACTAGCTCAGGTGTAGGATTGGAGGTACTTTCAATGTTAGTATCATTTTTAATTTCATTTGTTTGATTAAAGTCAATATTTTCTCCATTTCCCCATGTGCCAAATAATTCGGTATCAATTGGCTCTTCTGCCTTTCTTTTCCCTTTATTTATTTCTGATGAAATATCTTGATCCATTGTTTCTTCAGATGAGGATGATTGGCTGTCATCATCATTAGTTGACATATTAATATCATAATTAAAGTGTTGTAAAAGGGCTTCATTTTTTAGATAAGTTTCTCTTATCTGATCTAGTAGTCTATTTCTTTCATCAATATCTAAGTCTGGGTCTTTATATAATTTTCTCCAATAATCCAATATTTTCATATTCAGTTCTATTATAGATATTGATTTGAAGTACCATAACATCTTTTGTACCATAAAATAGCCTAGGGATGTAACTATCTCTTGGACTATTCATTCCATCATTGTTTATGAATGATATAGTTTCTAATTTTGTCATCAAATTATTTATTTAATTTTTTACTTCTTTATTTAAGTCAATATTTATTATAGAACCCAAATTGTCTATTTTAGATTCTATAGACTCAACTTTAGTCTCTAGATAATTTTGATTTATTTTTTGATTTTTATATAATTTGGAAAATCAATAACACATAATATCAGTAATATCATTTAAACTAGAACATACACTATTTATATTTGCAGACTCTTTAGTAATATGCAAACTATGATCATATTTATTATTAACATTATTTTTTGTATTTCCAAAGCATATTATATCGTTAGAATTAATTACCATTTTAGATTGTTGTTGGTACCTAAGACCCTCCTAGTGTATTATCTGGTGCCTAAAACCTCTCTTTATGATCTTAAAGACTTAATTATGGCCAATAGTCAAAAGATCTTAACGAGTATATGGGCTTTGACATACACTAAGCATGTAGGTTTTACAACAACTATAAATGAAACAAATAATTATGAAGATATAAAATACAAAAGATAAAAAAAAAAAAAAAACTTAGACAATTTTTTTTTTTATATAACATAAAACACACCATACAAACTTATATATATATAAAAAATTGATACCTAGATAGAATTACTTACATAGCTTGATCTTGCTTTCAAAAGCTCTTCACCAAGCTCTGATACCATTACAAACAAAAATGGAAAGGAGTTTTTTACTATTTTTATTATGAAATTATGGTGGAATTATGGAATTATGATAGAGAAGTTAGAAACAAAAGTGGAAGCACAAAGATGGAGAGAGTATGGAGAGAATTTACATGCTTCATTATGTTGGCATAAAGGCCAATATATAGACTACAAGAGGGTGAATACAAACAAAAATACAACTTAATGCATATCTAACATATCTAAACTTGGCAAGACTTTACGGCCAAAATTTCTAACACCTTAGACAAGCCTAGTCATAGGCTTTTTGAAAAGTCTTCAAAAAAGTAAATACAAAGAGACAAAATAGTTAAAGGAAAAATTACAATTATTTGCTCTGTGCTACAGTTTTTACAATTATATACACACTGTCTACCCTTCCCGGTTTTCAAAGAGATAGACTGCTGTAGATAAGCTTGGGCTGAGCTGTTTTGTCATGTAGCGTCGGCTGAAATGATGTGTCTGATTACTTTTCACCTAATAATGCAGATTGCTCCACGTGTCCTAGATAAGGTTAGAGTCGATCAGAAGACAACTGTATTTGATAGTGGGGTCCACTATGCTTCTATCCTGTTTATGAGATTGTGATATTCTTCATCAGTCTCTGATGGAGGGGAATCCGGATCTTGGCTGTATTGCTCATTCCGGAAATATTCTACATCATCCGCGATCATGGCTAGTTCCAACGGAAGATCCAAATTATTTCTCTTTTTGAGATTTATTAACATGTCAAGAGCCTCATTAATTTGTGTAGGAGATCTTTGATATGATATGGGAAAATGGGTTACAAATAATATTCGACCATCTGTAACCATGAATGACAATTTTGTTGAGCCATGGATGTTGGACGCTGCTTGTGAAACAGATATTAGACTGTCTATCCAATATTCTGTCAAAGAAAGTTTTTGGATATTTTCCAATCGCTCTCTCCGGTGATCTTCATCTAAACAATCATTTTCAAATTCAAAATCTTCAGTTTCTTTAAGATATCAAATCTGGTATGGTTGGAAAAAATGTTCTCGTTCTCGCCAACCAACAGTGCTGGAGATCCAGAAAGTAAAATATTTGCTCCATCGAAAGCCTTTTACTATCCATGAGAGCATTACTATGATGATCATTGGATAATCTATCCATTGGATTGGATCTAAAATTTGGAAAATAACTTGATTAGTTATTCCGCAATCTATATCCTCAAAAAACCACATGTCATGGTTTGCCATGATGGTTATTTTGGGAATTCCATCTTTTAAATTTAATTTATCATAAGATCGTTCTAAGATTTGTCTAATTTTATCATGATGATCTTCAACTCGATTTTTGATTAACATAAAAATTTATTTTGGAAGCAAAGTTCTTGCTTTTTCAAAAAGACAAATTCTTTTTATTTGTTCAAAAACTGGATCAGAAAACTCATCTGATATGAGGTCTGATAGTTAAAGAAAATTGTTTATTTTTTCAAAATTAAAATCTTCATTCCAATTCATTTGTTTAAGAATATTGAAACAAAGATTTTGCAAATCTTTTAATTTAGCTGTTTGCTTAGCTAATTTGTTGGCTAGAACTCCCATGTATTTTCGAAATTTCACTTTGTTGTCTACAATGTGAGTTTTCCAAACTCTATTGAGTTCCGTATAAATTTCTCTGGATATACCAGGGTTGAAAAAATCTTTTATTTCAGATTTATCTGGTCTAGATGTCTGAATATTAGCTGGAACTGGGTTAGTTCTCATTTGACAAAAATTCTTTTGATAAACTGGCACACCGGGTGCACTGTAAAAAGCTTTTTTGGCTTTAGTCATGCTATCATATGCTTTATAGCTCGCTCCTGAATATCCACAAACTTGCAGATTGGCTTCGTTACAGTCTGTGTAAATTCCAAGTTGTCTTCTTGCAAACGCAACATAAACTTTTTCTTCTCTGGGGATTGCTTTTTTAGCAATTGTCGCCCAATCTCCTTGAGCGGGTTGTTTACCCTTATCCATTGTTTCCTCTTGGTCTAGAGGTCTTTTGCAAAAATTAAATTTACTTGTTTAGCAATTTAATTTTCTGAAACAATTTCTGCTAAGAAAATTGCAAGAAAATTTTTAGTACCTTTAAGATGTTCTACTTCAAAAGTATATTCGAAAATTTTATTATACCAGGCTAATCTTCTTCCTTGTTCAATAGGTTTTTTATTGATCAAGAAATCTCTTACTGCCTTATTATCAGTGCGTACAATAAAATTTTATGGGGTTAAATAAATATGAAAACTCTTTATTGCTAATTTTATTGCAAATAATTCTTTTTCGAAAATAATAAATTTCTGTTCATTTGGTTTAAATGTTCTAGAATTATATCCGCAAATTAATTTTTCTTTTTGTAATTTTATAGGTATTGAACTTTTTCTTGGTCTAATCCCATTTTCTGATAAAGGTATCTCTTTATCATGCCATAAATTACTGGGTATAGCTTTAAGAACACATCCCCAGCATGCTTCTGAGGCGTCTGTTTCTAAAATTAATTTATCACCTGTTTTAGGAAGATAAACATCCGGTAAAGTTTTAACATTTTCTTTAATTTGTTTAATTACAGCAACATCTTCTGCTGCCTATTCAAAAATAACATTTTCCCTTAATTTGGTTAACCAAGGAATTTCTATTTTTGAAAGATTTTTGATAAAATTTCGTCCATAATTTAAAATGCCTAATAAACTCTGTAATTGTGTTATATTTTCAAGAATATCAGAAAAATCTCGTACTTTGGACAAAATATGTTCTTGTAATTTTAACCTTTCTGGTCTAAAATTATTTCAAAAAATTCAATTGATTCTTTTTCTAGTTCAATCTTTTTTGGAGACAAAATAATTCCATGTTTTTGAAATTTTTCACAAAGTAATTTTAAATGTTTATAATGCTCCTCCTTGATTTTAGAGAAGATAAGTATATCATCAATATAAACTACACAACAATCTTTAAGGTCTTTAAAAATTGTATCTATCCACCGTTGAAATACCTATGGTGCAATATTTAACCCAAAAGGCATAACATTCCAGTGGTAATGTCCTCTAGGTGTACTGAAAGCTATCAATTTTTTTAACTCTTCAGTTAATTGAATTTGCCAAAATCCACTTTTACAATCAAATTTGCTAAAGATTTTTGATCCTTTGGTTAAGTTAATCAAAACATCTTTTTGTGGAATAAAATATCCATCAAATTCTAAATTTTCATTTAGTCGTTTATAGTTGACTACCATTCGGACTTTTCCTCTTTTAATTTCAACATGGTTTCTTACCATAAAAGCTGGACTAGAGTGAGGGCTTCTAGTTTTTTCAATTAACTTTTTGTCTAAAAGTTCCTGGAGTTGAATATCAAATTCATCTATATCTTATCTAGTATAGATCATTGGTCTTACTCTAATGATAACGTTAAGGTCTTTCAATTTTAAACTACAATAACGTGGACTACGTTGCCATAGTTTTAATGGATGTTCACTAAAATTTTCTTCTAAAATTTTATAAATCCAATGTGATTCATCAATAGTTTTGCTGATGGGAGTTAAATCACCACGCGGCACGAGCGCAAACTCTGTATCACAAATATATTTATATTGTTCTAACAAGGGAATATGAATTAAGACATTGTTTATGTTTAATGAAATGGCTCTTTCCTGTATTTGCATTGGAAGATATTTATATATAAAATT